AAGTTTTATATGAAATAAGAGAAGATACTATGCATGAGGGTGTATAATAAAAATATAAACTATTTGTATACGGTCGGGATCAGTTCCAATCCGGAACCGTGGAATTCAATCCGGAACCAATCCATGAACTACGGATTTTTAATTTTTCAATCCGGAACCGAACCACGGATTCAAAAAACCAATCCAAACCTATTGAATTGGACTGGACTGGATTGGATTACGGATTTCATGGATTCCTTTCTCAGCCCTATAAATAGGAGAATGGCTCATTTGTTTCAATACACAATCCAAGACTTGTACATTTTCCCCAGTGAATACAAGAGTATTCTTCAAACTCTGTGTTCCTAGCTTCTCATGTTACAATTCACTTGGGTTAGACTGACTTAGCATCATCAAGAAATGAACTATGGAGAAGACCCCCTCCAGAAACCCACTCTTGTGAATTGGATGGCAAAAACCCCTTTCTGGTATCCTTGATTCTTTCACTGTCGAGGTTGTCGATTCATTACTATCATCTTCATCACACTCTCTCTCCTTCTGCTTCTTGTTATTGATTTCAATAGACCACAAATCGTAATTCCGATAATTACCCATTTCTTGCCCTCTGATTCTTTGTTTCCTCCTTCCAATTGATGCTTCTTTGAAGAACCCATGTGCGAATCTAATTCAAATTCATTTTGACAATCCTTCACAGACCAATTTCTGACTTTTATCTAGTAAGTTTTGTTTGGGTATTGATGTATGTATATATCTATATATATTTTTTGTTCATTTTTCATGGATTTGTCGCTTAAATTTGTTTGGATGCTCAAGAAATTGAGTCAATAAGAAGAAAATTAAAAAGAAAGCATGGGTTTTTGTTACTTTTTGTGCTTTTACAAACACTTGTTCGCATGATATGTATATATGTATATATACATACCCAGACAAATGTTACAATGGTCTCTATAACATTTGGAATAGAGATTGAGGGTGGTGAGGGGGGCCAAAGAAGCCTCAGTTATTGGTACAGAGGCGGTGGCCCTCCGGCGACTGAAACTTGTGTTTCTCTGCCATAGCTACAAAATTGGAGAAATATTAGAACAAATTCAAACAAAGAAGAGAGATAAAAAGGGAGAAAGAGAAATGGATTTGAGAATTGTGTTAGGAAGCCAGGAGTTCAAAAGGATTTTATGTGAATTAAAGCCATCAAAATTAATAATAAATCCATCAAAACACCAAAATACTCTCACCCATATCAATTCTAAATCCATTAAAACACAAAAAGAAAAAGAAAAAGAAGAGAAAGAGCTCTTTGATACTAACCTTCTGGTGATGATTACAGTGGAGACTCTAGAAATTTTTATAGATGTAGTCACTTCACAAGTTTGAGTTTTTGGTGTTTTATTGTCTTTAGAATTTTTTTTTCCATATTTCAGTCAATTTTTTTTCTTTTTTAAATGCACGTAATCTATATATACTTAAAACATAAAATATTTAAGAAAAATTCAGAAATTGTATTAAATTTTTGTATTTTTTTATATTTAATGATTTTTTAAAATATTTTTTTGCAAATATTTTATTTTTTAATTGTATCGAGATTAAGTGAATCTAAAAAGTAAAATAATTTAGTTAAAATATTTAAAATGTTAAATAAAAGATTAAAAAAATTATGAAAAATAAAAAAATTCAATTTTTTTTTTAATTTTTTATAAATGGTTAATCAAATAGAGTCATTTAAACTTACGAAATAATACGTCTTTAATGGGTGTGAATCCTTATTTGATGGGCTACCTTAATTTTGTAATGAAATAAAATACTAAGAGTCTCCTTAGTGACCATTTTATTTTTAGTTTTTTGTTTATACATACAAAAATTTAACAATTAATATAACAACTTATTTGATACTTTTTTTTTGATTTATAAATAGTTAGTCTTATCTTAGTTATAAATAAGAATGAAAAACAAAAACACAAAATATATGTTTTTGATCTGAATTTTTAAAAGGAAAATGTTATAGGCTCCAAATTTTCTACCAAATGAATGACTAATTGTCTTACATATAAAATTTGGTATTCTTAGCATTACCCTTTTTAAAAATAAAAAATGCGGAGCAAAAACTACGGAAGAAAAAAGAAAAAAATTGACTCGCGTTCAAAACTAGTGAACACATTTTTGTTCAACATATTCAACAGTAATATATTCTTCAACGGTAAAAAAAAAAAAAAAAACCATCAAAGGCTCTCTTGCTTTATTCCTCGACGACTCTCTCGTTCTGGATCTTCTCTCTCTCTCTCTCTCTCTCTCACCAACAAACCCAGGTATCGAGAAATTTAAATTGTATTTTTTGTAATTAAAATGGTTTTTTTGGTTTAATCGAAAAAGAATAAACTTAGGCCATGTTTGTTTGAACGGATTGGATAAGGTGATTGTAATCTATCGAACGGTTAATCTTAAGATACATAATCCCTGAACTATTTTGTTGAAAATGATGTGCATTCCATTTTTGTTTAGTCGCGAGATTAGATGTTAGGAAAGCAAGAAGCACAGATACGGATATGGGATATGGCATCTAAAAAAGTAGGATACAGGGGGGATACGTTCATAATTTTTTAAAATTTTATTTATAATTTTAATAATGTAATATATATGAAAATAAAACCTAAAGCAAATTAATAAATAAAGAGAGTTATTCCTATTCAACAAAGATTTAATAACATTAAAGTTCTTAAAATTAAAAATTCGGTAAAAAAATAATTACATTTAAGTGTAGGGAAACTAAAAAAATAAAGTGAAAAAAAGCAACCTAATAGATAAGGGAAAAAGTGAAAAAAAAAGAAAAAGAAAAAGAAAAAGAAGGAGAGTTGAGAGTATTGAACATTGAAAAAATATAAATATAAAATTAAAAAAAAATGGAAAAAAAAATACTTATTTAGTGTATTGAAATATAAAAAATAAAAAATTAGAAAAAAAAATTGGATACTTATTTGGCGTATCCCTCGTGTATCCTTCGCGTATACCTCCTGTATCTGAAATTTTAAAAAAAAAATCGGACACTTATTTGTCGTATCTGATACATATGTCGTTGTATCAGACACATATCCGTATCCGATAAGTATTCGATAGTTGTACGGTACCTTTTTTGAAGTATCTGTGCTTCATAATTAGGGAATGACTATTCTATTGAATCGTATACTTATTTGGAATATTATGAAGAAGCATAAATTCTCAAAGACTATTTTATCCTTTTGAATTGTTTACTAAATAATAGGAATACTAAATATGAGTTACAAATTATATTTTATCTTTTCGCTAGAACTTTTAAAAAATTAAATAAATAGAACATCAATAAAAATTAAATAAATTTATTTTAATTTTTAGTTGAAACTTTTAAATTTTATTTTATTTTATTAAATACAATAATCTAGAGGGCCAAAAATGTCATTTTGCCCTCTAATCCGGAGGAGTTATCTCACCATTTTGTATCCCACATCGGCAAGGGACACAACAATCCAACAAATAAGGGATTTATAGTCTGATTAGACTATTAGTGTGGGTTACATTATTGGACTATTACATGGAATGAATATGGAGTCCTATCCTACCCTCTAATCCCCCAAACAAATACTTGGGTTTACTCTTTGCCAAATCTTCTATGTAGAGGTTGAGAAATCTTTCAAAACTTATTTATATTAATTTGCTGAACATTTTCATGATAAACACAATTTTAGTTGGAAAAAGACAAATTTTTTTAATTTTTAGTTGAAACTTTTAAATTTTATTTTATTTTATTAAGTACAATAATCTAGAGGGCCAAAAATGTCATTTTGCCCTCTAATCCGGAGGAGTTATCTCACCATTTTGTATCTCACATCCGCAAGGGACACAACAATCCAACAAATAAGGGATTTATAGTCTGATTAGACTATTAGTGTGGGTTACATTATTGGACTATTATATGGAATGAATATGGAGTCCTATCCTACCCTCTAATCCCCCAAACAAACACTTGGGTTTACTCTTTGCCAAATCTTCTATGTAGAGGTTGAGAAATCTTTCAAAACTTATTTATATTAATTTGCTGAACATTTTCATGATAAACACAATTTAGTTGGAAAAAGACAAATTTTAGGTCAAAATATCCCCACAAGTTACACAAAAATGACATCCCCGACACTTTTTGGGGGGCATTTATCTTCCATCCAAAACAAACAGAATGCAAATTAAGCTAATACGTTGTAAGGAAAAGGAATTGAACCGAGTAATAAAATTAGTATATCTTAATTTAACTCATAATTAAATGTTAAATTCGAGATTTGACTCTTTCTTTATTTTTGCTTGCTAGCTTTAGAACATCGAGCCTTCTAAAAAGAAAAAATGATCTATTATTATTGTTATATATATATTTATATTTAAAATTATGCATAAGAATCGTGAACTTGCCGAACTTGACCGATCTGAATTGATTAAGGAACGATTGGTTTCGAAAGTGTCCACAGGCAATTGCAATTGTAATATAAGTGATTTTTCAATTTTGTGATCGGCTAACAAAAAGGAAGATTCAAATTTGGCCAATCTGATCCGACTATGGGGTGTTTTGGAAAGATGATTAAAAATTAACTTTTTAATTTTTTTAAAACTTTTTTGACTATGGAGTGTTTTGGAAAGATGGTTAAAAGTTAACTTTTTAATTTTTTTTTGACTTTTTTTATGTGAGAGGTGATGTGATTTAAAATGGATTAAAAGTTAACTTTTAACTTTTTATTAAAATTCCGAAATGACATGGCTTTTGATATTATCTTATCACCTTTATCTATGAGATTGATCAAAAATATTAGAAATTATAACAATTCTATTAAAATTTTTATTAAATATTTTACATAAATAAGATCTATATGTGAATCTTCTATTCATATAAAATATGTGATAATTTTTTTTTTTTTTATAAAATTGTTGAAATTTCTAGAATTAATCGGGATTGACAGCTATACTCAAGTTCCCACACAATTTCAGCCTTTCATGTCCTTTATTTATACTCCAATTCCAAGAAAAAAGAAGGCACAGTTTGGGTTCGTATTTCTCTCTTCACAATGTGTCTTTCGTCTCTCTCAAAACGTTTTCTGTCCTCTTTTATTATCTGTCTCTTTCATATGTGCATCTCTTTCCTTCCCTCTTTCCCCTCTTTCATGGTGGCTAACGATGGCCTTTACGGACGTAGTGTGGGTGATGGCGGTGGCTGTGAGTAGCGGTGGTTATGGTGGTCGGCGGCATGGTGGGTCTTGATTGATGCCCTCTCTCCCTCTCTTTTCCCAATGTCTTTACTTTATTCTCTCCCTTCTGAGTTCAAGATCTGTAATTGCAAGCTTTGAATTTCATTTTTTTTCAATTTCTTTTCTTCAATTCTCTCTCTCTAACAAATTTTTGAAATTGACCGATCCGACCGCTGAACCAATTGATTTGAACCGGACGATTTCGAACTGTAAATTAGTCGAAAATGGTTGAATGGTTTTCGGTTCGGCTGATGGTTATATTAAAATAAAGTGGTAAAAGATTTACATAATGCTTATTCTTCCTGATTTTGGCACTGTTTTTTTTTTTTTTTTTTATAATTTTTTTCAAAAAAAATTTACTGTATTGATTGTGCATAACTTCTCTCTATATATGCACTCTTTGCCTCCAGAACAATCGGCTTTTAACTTAATAGTAACACTTTGTGATTTGGACATGGTTTGTCTGTTTGCAGAAGAATTATTTCTCAGAGTTGGACTCAGAGCTACATATGTTTGGTTTTGAATTTGAATTTGAAGTTGAATTTGAAGAGTTAGCTTACCATTATGCCATGGAAGGAAAACTCATTGAGTTGGCTATGTTGCTGATTGTTGCTTGAGAAGACGTTTTGGTTCGCATCACTTTTCATGGAAAAGATGGTGCTGGTTTAAATGGCAAGTACGACAATCCATGAATGCATTAAAAATCATTTTGTCTATCTAATTAACGAGGAGATCAGCTTTATGGAACAAGTTAAACATGAGAAATTTACTCAGATTCACGAGAAGAAGGTTATGAGGTTGGCTATGCTATTGACTGGTAATAGTGTTGAGGAATATTTGCAGCTGCAACAACTTGATGTATGTATCAATACATGTTCCATCCTCTTGCAAACAGTAGGATTTCAATTCACGATTCTCAATTTCATAACTAGTATCTTGTTCTCCAAGATTGTGTTTGGATCTTGGATTTGTGGATGAGTTTATAGTAGGAAAATAAAATGAAATGGTGGAAACAACAATAAGAAAAGATTAATGAAGTAGAAGCAATTTTTTTTTCTTCTCTCTCTACAATCCCTTCACAAATCCAATATCCAAACACTACCTAACAAGGTCGAGATCCCAGCTTCTCCAGCCACTCTTCCAATAGTATCTGGTTGTAAAGATCTCGGTTTCTCTGGTGGGATATCTCAGCTTCCTCAGAGAGATATAAGTTTATGATTGTATGTTGTTAAAGTAACAAAATTGTACTCCTATGTGCTTGCAGTAATGCATATCAGCACATTATTACATAAAGTAATCATTTGGTTCTTATAGGTGCAGAGAAAACATGTGGAGAAAGATATTGCTCTGAGGCTTGTGGAAGCTGGCTTTAACTTGAAGGCTAGAGACTTAGATTTTAGCAGTAGAGACTGGTTTGGGAACCTAATACTTAACGTTTGATTGCCTTTTTTTGGATTGTGTTTCTTCTCTTTATGCACATTATTGATCTTATAACTTTTGTGGTTCAGTATAAGTATGTAAGCTATTATGTCATTGAATGGCTAGTTAATATTTAGGGTACCATTTTTTTTTACAGGTTCATTTCCTATGATTCCCCTACCAAGTACATAGAGACTCAATTAGGTGATTTATTGACTTCTAATGGAAACTTACTTTTGCTTCATAAGTAATTATAAAGAAACGAAATGGAATGCTAGTTTCTGACATGTTTTCTTACAGAAGATAAGTTGTCTCAGTTACGGAGTCCTGGCTTGCCCATGTTGCAGCAAACAAATGTGTTTTACCCCCCAAAGGTTAGAAAATATTTGTTACGTTTTTTTACTGTTATTTTTATTGTTTTGTGTTGCTGGCTGTTTTGTTACTTGGATGCTTTGTGCCATAGCAGTCAGCTTTTTTCACCTTCTATTTTTCCTTGCAGGGCTTATAGTGGGAAGACAGAGAAAGAGAAATGTGAAGTGACAAAATAAGTTAATGACCTACAATGTAGGACAAGATGAGGTTAACTGCTCCTACTAGTAGTGAACCCAAACCTAATAAATGGCAACTGAAAAATAGGCTGGGGGGGTGAAATTGGTTGTTGAAAGGTAGATGGGCTGTAAATTATGGGGATTTAAGGGTTCCAAAAATTGCAACAAATGGTAGTGATTTGAGAGTGAAGACACAAAAGTTTGGGGTTGTTCTTACACCCTTCAATTATTTATCTTAAATTTCCTTTTATTATGTAAACGATTTTATAAACCGAGGCCCCATGATAATGCTTCTTGTGTATGAAAAGATGCCACTGCCAAAAGTCACTTTACACATCCTTGCATATCCAAAAGCCCTACAAATTCTATACTTGGTCTAGACCTATGGTGTACATGTTCTTGGATATGGGTGCCAGTTGTGAACGTGGATCTGGGCTTTGGTCTTGAAAAGCTTCTAGGGGGTTAGTGTTGTACTATGAAGTACAGGTATTCTAAAATATTGCTGTACAAGTACCGGGTATTTACCGAGTGCGGATACACGTACTGGTACAGTTGCACGTGTACCGCGTATGCCAAAAACACGCACTGGGTATGTTTTACACAAACATTATAATGATGGGTACGTGATGGGTACGCCACGGGTACGTTTTTGGGTACTTCGGGGTACAAAATGAGATTTTTTACAAATTAAAGGGTACCGGAGCAAGTTTTTTGGTCTATTTAAAAAAATCATATAAATTTGGAGTACTTTTGTAATAAACAAAACATGAAACAAATTAAAATTAGGGTTCTAACCTATCGATTGTCTCTCTCTTTTTCCTGAAACACACAGACTCGCAAGAGCTGAAGAACTCCTTCCTGCGAAGCTATTGAAGAGGTTTAATCGAAGGTGCTAATCGATTCTCCCCTTCAAAGATCACATTCCGGTAAGTTCATCTTCGATTCTTCTTCCTTTTATTTGTTCTGTCCATCTTCGATCTCTTTCTTCTTCAATTCTTCCACTTCTTTCATTTTTTTTTCCAGATTTTTTTTCTGTTTCTTCGCAGCAAACGAAGACATATCTCATTTTTCATTTTTTTTTCCAGATTTCGGTTTCCTATTTTTTCATTTTTTTTGGGCCAGATTTTTGTACTCCTGCTTGGCAGCAAACGACCCCCTCTGCTCCAATGACGACTCCTCTTCTCGTCAGGTACTCCCTCTTTTCCCTCCGTTTCTAGGGTTTTGAATGCTGTTCTGATTTTGCATGCTCTTTCTTTTGAACCTCAATCTCTGTTGTCGTTTTTTTTTTTTTATTTTTTTTTATTTTTTTTTTTTATGTGTTTGAATGCATATATTAATATATTCAGTTGGTTTTTTAGACTGTTTGTTGGAATGAGAGGTTTGTTCTGTTGTAATGGTTGTTAAGCTGTTTCTTTGTTTTAGGCTCTGTTTGATTAGAAAGAAAATTTGTTTGAATGTGAAAGGAAAGGAAGGAAAGGAAAATATATATTCTTGTAAACATTTTATTAGGATGAAATTTTTGCATGAAAAAGATACAGAAATTTTTTATAATTTTAACTATAGGTAACCCTTGCATTGCATGGACAAATTTTATAATTATTATTATTGTTATTTTTTTTTTGTGCAAGAAATTAAAAACTCAATTACCATTGCTAATATGTGTTGTATAGAAAAAACTAATTTTGTTGTTGTTTCCTACTCTTTCATGCTAAACAAACTTACCAGAACAGATTGGTTTTTGAATCACTGTGAACGACTTGTGCTGAGTTATATTAAAATTTAATTAAGCTAATGGGTGTAGTGTAATAAAATGTTTTTGTTTATAATATCTTTTCTTTGATATACTTATAAAAAAAAAATAGGGGGATTACATCCATATTTTTTATTACACAAGTATGGAGGGTGCCCCCCACAGCATTTCACACGGTATCAAAAAAAACTGAATCAAATTTTCTTTTTTTCATTTTTTTTCCATATTTTTGTACTCTTTTTATATTTATATTTTTTATGTTTCCTCTTTTTTTTTTGTAATTTCTCTTTTTAATAATGTTATTGAATTTAATTTGTATGTTGGATGTATAGCTATAAATTTAAAATTTAAAAAATAAAAAATAAATTTGGTGTACCCCAGCCGTACCTGTACCCTACTTTTTAAAAAATTTGTTGTATCGGTGTACCCGTACCCGTATCTGTACCCGCACCCGTGCTTCTTAGGTGTTGTAAGAGGTAAAAGAAAGATTTGTGTTTGTGAAAAGGAAGAGGGTGGAATTGAATTGATTTCTATAACTCGCAGATTGCATCATTTCTGAAATAGTGCAATTAAAGGGACTGGATAACACTGATTTATGGATTTTAAGATTAAATTAGTAGCTAATAGGTATAGGAATAAGTTGGGGATGGTTTGTACTTGATAAGCTAGGGTTTAGCAGCTGAAAGGGCATGTTTGAGGGAGGTGAACAGTAACAGGCAAAGATGAAGAGATAGGAGAAGGAAAGTGGCACTTCACCCTCGTAACATTCATGAAAATTTATATAAAATCCAATTTAGTTTCTCACAAGAAGTGTTCAATTGCAAGTGTGAGACACATATCCCAAACCCTATTTGATATATTTTTAAGAATAGCTAGGGTTTAGCAGCTGAAAAGGGCATGTTTGAGGGAGGTGAACAGTAACAGGTAAAGATGAAGAGATAGGAGAAGGAAAGTGGCACTTCACCCTCGTAACATTCATGAAAATTTATATAAAATCCAATTTAGTTTCTCACAAGAAGTGTTCAATTGCAAGTGTGAGACACATATCCCAAACCCTATTTGATATATTTTTAAGAATCCATTAAGGTACATCAATATAACGGGCAAAGACGAGGAATATTCGGTACTATCAAATTGTCTTATGTTTCCTATCCTGCCAACTAAATAAGCCACATCAAGCCAAGATGGATAATAATCCAATTATTTCTCTTCCCCACCCTTTTCCCTCTTCAACAACCAAGGCATTTGAGTTGCCAGGAACACCCAAGCCACACTAAACCAAGAGAGGGCCAAAGTTTAAAGCTCCTTAGCCACCGAACAATAGCTGAGTATCTCTTACACATGTAATCAATTCACAGATAATTTATTAGATAAGTTTTCATTTACTAGAGAGAAGAGATTGGAATTTGAGAGATCTAAACAACATTTAATTAGATAAGTGAGATCTAAATTACGTTGGAACTTGGAAGTCAGCATTTAGACAATTGAAATGTCGAAAGATAAATGTAAATTTTCAACTACTCAATCAATGCCACAAAAACAACAAATCTGGGATGCAGAGACGAGGTGATAAGGATGCAATCTGTTAAACCAATCCAATAGAAACACGTGTATGGCAGCGTGTAGGTCGGTTTGGTTTCCGCCCATTGTTTAGTTTTAAAATCACTGACCAACTATGAAATTGAAATTTTGTAAATTTGTAAACTGCAGTCGACCGAAAGTTGGTGGTAGTAGTCTCTTTTTCCAAGGTTATCAACAACATTTGACCCATATTTGGCTTGTAATTTTAGGCATATGAGAGGAAAGACCACCTTTGGACTGTCCCAAAATAGGTCTCATTTGGTCCGAAAAAATAATTCCACCAGGTCCAGGGACTGGACCAGGCCCAAAGCCTTTGAGGCTTAACTTAGGCCTAATCACCTCTGATTCCACAACATAATTGGTCTTCTTGGAGTGACACAAATCATGGGCACTAACTCCTAAAGTCTCCTAGCCAGGCTCCTCCTCGTTCACAATGGGGTTTGGTCAGGTGATTCGGTTGTTCGAACACCTGACCAAAATCCGTACGAGCCATCTCTTGAAATCGCATGCCCTGTATTGTTATATGATTGTATTGTTATATGATTGTCACTCCGGTGACTTTGGTTCTGTTTTGTCTGTGGATATGGTTATATGTTAGGTATAATATTGTATTTATATGTATTTTAAAATGAATTTCCCTTATCATAGATGAACATGAGTAACTTATTTGTTTGATGAAAACATATTTATATTTGATTATTTTGGTCTAAATGCCTATCGATTGAGGTTTTCTGACTCTTATGTTCTCGGTATAATACTACTCATTCTGCAGTATGCTCATAGTCATATCAAAATTAGTTGCACTAATCACCAGTTCATATATATTCAAAAATTAAAAAACCAAAAGTTAAGGACAAACTAGAATTAAACATCAAGAAGATAGGCAAAGAAGCCGATAAACCATTAAATGTGAAACTATTGAATTGTTTGAAACTAGCACCTAGAAAGACGACGTGCAAAAATTAACAAGATAACAAATATTAAACTTATTAAATGTGAAATTATTGAAACATCCTATCTGCGCTTTAAGCCTATAGTAAGTCATCTCGGCCAAATCATTCTTGCCATAATAATATCTCACTTTCTCAAAAGCACGGTGAATTGTCGTAGTAGTGTTCAAGGTTCGTTCTAGCATCCAATCTCTGGCTCTCGCAGCCAAAAAATTCATAACTTGGAATCCCTCCCACGAGACATGTAATTGTTGCACTCTTTAGGAGGTAATTTCCTATAAATACAAAAATGCATTAGTGTAAAAGAAAAAAAATTATTTGAACGACTTATAAATAAAGATAAATAAAGCAATAATTCATGCTTGTAGAAATCGTAAAATTAACAGGATAAGAAATATTAAACTTATTAAATGTGAAATTATTGAAATATCCTATCTGTGCTTTAAGCCCATAGTAAGTCATCTCGGCCAAATCATTCTTGCCATAATAATATCTCACTTTTTCAAAAGCACGGTGAATTGTTGTAGTAGTGTTCAAGGTTCGTTCTAGCATCCAATCTCTGGCTCTCGTAGCCAAAAAATTCATAACCTGGTATCCCTCCCTAGAGACATGTAATTGTTGCACTCTTCAGGAGGTAATTTCCTATAGGTACAAAAATGCATTAGTGTAAAAGAAAAAAAAATCATTTGAACGACTTATAAATAAAGATAAATAAAGCAATAATTCATGCTTGTAGAAATCGTAATATTCTATTGGTAATTCGCCGCAGTTTTAACAATGAATGAGTTATTCAATTGTATTAATATCTACGTGAACACATATTGTCGAGCTAGAAGGAGGCTACATTCGGCAGCTTTTAGCTCAGCTTCATATTTGTTGCGTACAACTCTGAGCCGTATAGCTTGTATAGCTTTAATCGTACCCAAATGATCTTGGAAAACAACCTGCTGAAGCATAATCAGTCTCATCTGTCTTAATGAATGATATATCTGAGTTGATTTTAATCCAATTCATGGAAGGAGGAATCCAAATAACTCTACTAATTGGTTGTTCTAAGAGCTTAATTTTTTGAATTTTAATAAACTCCTTGAAATGGTCGTACTCATGTGGACCCAAACTTGAAAATATGTCCATAAATGGAAGTGTATATGGGCTGTGTCAATTTCGATTGTAATCCGTATAAAGTACGGAGGTGGGGTAAATGATTTTCGTCGAATTGGGTTTATAAACTAATCTCAAATGGGTTGACATACAATAATCCCCATTTCTAACAAAAACACAGGTCTTACATAAAAAGGTTTTATTTTGAAACCTACAAAATTAAAAAAATAATACTAATTTTCAAGAAGATATATACATAACAAAGACAATAACACTACTATTATATGAATACTCCTCACTTAATGGATCATCCCTCTTGAATGACATGAATCAGTTAGTAAGTGAATCAGTTGAAAGAAATATGGATTACTGTATATCAATCCCATCTGAGATTAGTTTGATAACCCAATTTGAAGAAAAACATTTACCACATCTTCGTACTTTATATGGTCGAAATTGAAAAGATCCATATAAATTTCCGTGAAGGAGTATATGGATATATTTTTGAAATCAGGTCAGCATAAGTATGATTATTTCGAGGAATTTATTAAAAGACAATTAGTGTACACTTGGAACAACCAATTGGTAGGCCTATTTGGGTTCCTTCTTCGATGGATTTCAATGAAATCAACTCAAATGCATCACTCATTAGACAGTTTATGGTTTAGCGGGGTTGTTTTCCGAGAAGCTATACATGTTATGTGGCTCAAAAGTGTATGCGACAGCTACGAAGCTGAGTTAAAAGTTGCCGAATGTAGCCTCTTTCTAGCTCGACAATATGGGTTCACGTAGATGTTAATACAATTG